TGATTTTTTTTCTTTTTTCTTTTTAAACAAACTTTTAATTTTAGAGTAGTTTTAGATTTACAGGAATATTGCAAAGATAGTACAGAGAGTTCCCATATACCCCCACCTAGTTTCCCCTATTGTTAACATCTTAACATTAATATGGTATGTTAATTACTGTTAGTGAACCAACAGTGATACATTATTATTAACTAAATCCATACTTTATTTGGATTTCCTTAGTTTTCCCTAATGTCCTTTTTCCTGCTCCAGCATTGTACCTAGGTCACTATATTACAGTTAGTCGTCTGTCTCTTTAGGTTATTCTTGCCTGTGACAGTTTCTTAGACTTGCTGTTTCTGATGACCTTGACAGTTTTGAAGAGTTTTGAAGGTCAGGCACTTTGTAGAGTGTTCCCCCGGTTGAGATTTGTCAATGTTTTTTCTCATGATTAGACTGGGGTTTTGGGTTTTGGAGGGGAAGACTACAGAGGTAAAGCACCCTTCTCAGCAAATCATATCAAGGGTTCATACTTTCCACTGACTTATCACCGTTGATGTTGACTGTAATCATCTGGCTGAGGTACTATTTGCCAGGTTTCTCCTCTTTAAAGTTACTCTTTCCCCCACTGCACCTTTCCATACTGTACTCTTTGGAAGGATGTTACTATGTGCACTCCACATTTAAGTAGTGGGAATTATGCTCCATCTCCTTGAGGGTGGAGTATCTACATAAATTATTTGAAGTTATTCTGTATAGGAGATTTGTCTCATCTCCTATATTTATTTATTCACTTATTTGTATTAATATGGACCCATAGATATTTGTTTTATACTTTGGGTTATAATCCAATACTACTTTATTTGTTTTTCAAATTGTTCCAGCTTTGGCCATTGGGAGCTCTTTCATTTGGCTCCTGTGTCTCTGACACACTCCCATCATTGTGGGGTATTGTTTGTTTGTTTGTTTTAAGCACTTCCTTACTTTCTGACAGTACAAGATACGCCACGCTCATCTTATAGATTTCTTGCTACAGTCCATCCTAGAATCAGCCATTTTTCCGAGGAGCCCTACTTCCTTTTATTGAAGAATGGTATTAGAAACCAAGATCTGGGTGTTAGGTGTGCTTGTTGCTACTGAGGTTTCTTTGCTTCTAGGCCCTCTCAGCTGACAGAGCAAGAAAATATATATGTATACTAACCCATGTGTGTACATGTGTCTACAAATATTTCTAAGTGTAACTGTCTGTATCTGTGTTGAACATGGCTTTCTACTGATGTCTCCAACTATGATTCATTACCCCATGGATCATTCTAACCTCCTCTTGCTAATCTGTAAACTCCCACTCCAACAGTGAGAAACCTGGCTCCCACTATCTGCCATCCATTTACTTAATTCTTCATTTCTAGTATACATGCATTGCAGTATCAGAACTGTTAGCCTGTACCCCTATGGGAAACAACTTTATCCACTAGTGTACACATTTATGTTGTTTATAGCATTTCTTTTGGTTTTAGTCTTACAGACTTCATTTCCTAGGTTACTTAGGTCAGCACCTTTTCCTTCCCACCCTTCAGTAAGGTTGTTTCATTCATTTGTAATACAGATAGATTGTTTTGTAATGATTTTAATACAATGTGTTAAATGTACTGACAGAGGTGAACACATAGGGGAGTATTGAAGTGGAACAACTGATCCAGCTGGGGGATAGGGTAGGGATGAAAGGCATCCTAGAGGACCCACAGGTGAGGCCTGATCTTAAAGCAGCTCTTGGAGTGTGGTCTCTGGACCACAAGCATTATCAGCACCTGGGAACTTTGTAGAACTATGAATTTTGGGGCCTCACTGCAGAATCAGAAAATCTGGTGTTGGGGTCCAGCAGTCTGTGTTTTATCCAGCCCTCCAGGAGATTCTACAGAACATTGAGAATCACTGTCAGTGAGGTCAGCTTGGTGAAAAGAGAGGAGTGTGCTCAGAAGAGGAGGGTGGCATGAGCCTAAGCGTTAGAGGACACAAAGTAGTATGACAGGCATAAGGGGTTAAAATAAAATGTCTGAGGCAGGAAGTGGCAGAAGTTAAGGAAGAGAGGTCAGCAGTTCCTGGCTATATAAGGGAGGGCTTGGAATACTGGGCTTAGGAACTTAAACTTCATTCTGTAGGCCATAGGGAGCCACTGAAGATTTTTTTCTTGTTATTGTTAACAGCTTTATTGAGGTACAATTCACATACCATACATTTCACCCTTTTTTAAAGTGTACAATTTAATAATTTTTTAGTATATTCAGAGTTTTGCACCCATCATCACAATTATTTTTAGAACATTTTCATCATCTCCTCCAAAGAAATTCCTTACCCTTTTGTCACCATCCCCTTGACCCAGTCCTCAGATCTCCTCTATCCCCAACCCCTGGCAACCACTAGTCTACTTTCTTTCTCTATGAATTAGCCTATTCTGGACATTTCATATAAATGGAATCATAAAACGTGTGGCCTTTTGTGACTGGCTTATTATTTCGTGTAGCAGAATGCTTTCAAGACTCATTCGTGACATAGAGAACAAACTTATGGTTACCAGCGGGTATAGGGGGTAGGAAGGGATAAATTGGGAGTTTGAGATTTTCAGATACTAACTACTATATATAGAATAGATAAACAACAAGTTTATACTGTATAGCACAGGGAACTATATTCAGTATCTTGTAGTAATCTATAATGAAAAAGAATATTAAAAGGAATATATGTATGTGTATGTATGACTGAAACATTATGTTGTACACTAGAAATTGACACAATATTGTAAACTGACTATACTTCAATAAAAAAAGAATCCAGAGTTAAAAAAAAGACTCATTCATGCTGTATCATGAATCAGTACTTCATTTCTTTTTTATGGCTGCATAATATTTCACTGTATGGGTATACTACGCTTTTTATCCATTTATCAGTTGATGGACATTTGTGTTATTTCCCCTTTTGGCTTTGTAGTACTGTTATGAACATTCATGTACAAAATTTACTGTGATCAAATGTTCTCATTTCTCTTGGGTATGTACCTGGAAATAGAATTTCTGGATCACATAGTAACTCTATGTGTAACTTTTTGAGGAACTGACAGACTTATTTCCAAAGCAGCTGCACCATTTTACTTTCCCACCAACAGTGTTATTAGAGTTCCACTTTTTCCACATTGCTGTCAACACTTGGTATTTTCTCTTTTTGATTCTAGCCATCCTAATTGGTATGAAGTGGTATCATTGTGGTTTTGGTTTGCATTTCCCTGGTGACTAAAATGATGTTGATCACCTTTTCATTTGCTTATTGGCTATCTATATATCTCCTTTGGAGAAATGTCTAGTCAGATTCTTTGCCCATTTTAATTGGGTTATTTGTTTTTTAATTGAGTTGTAGGAGTTCTTTATACTAGGTACAAATCCTTTGTCTGGCACATGAGTTGCAAGTATTCTCCCATTCTTTGAGTTGTCTTTTCACTTTCTTGGTGGTATCCTTTAAAGCACAAACGTTTTTAATTTTTTAAAAAAGTTTTAATTTTGATGAAGCCAAATATATTTTTTCATTTGGTTGCTTGTGTGTTTGGCATCATATCTAAGAAACTATTGCCAAATCCAAGGGCATGGAGATTTACACTTATATTTTCTTCTAAGAGTTTTGTAGTTTTAGTGCTTATATTCAGGTCTCTGATTAATTTTGAATTAATTTCTGTGTATGGTGTGAGGTAGGGGATCAGTTTCGTTCTTTTGCACATGGATATTCAGTTGAAAATACTATTCTTTCCTCAATGAATTGTTTTGGGATCCTTTCAAAATCAGTCGACTGTAAACCACTGAAGAATTTTAAGCAGAGGAGTGACAAGATTTCTTTTATGTTTTAAGACAATATCACTGGCTGCTATGTAGAGGATTTCTTGGAGGGGCCAGGAGTGGTTGTAGGGAGACCAGTGAATAGGAAGTTGCAGTTATCCAGCCCAGAGATTATGGTGACTTGGACCACAGTAATGGTAATGGAGATGGGAGAGAAAGACAGGTTATATTTGGGAAATAAAGTTGGTAGGACTTGGGGACTATTGGCTAAGGTGGTAAAAAGAGGGAGAGGTCAAGGGTGACTCATATCTGGGTTGGAGTCAAGGATGATCTTTAGATTTCTAGTTTGTATGGCTAAGTGGATGGTAGTGTCATTTATTACCACACAAATGGAGAAGCATGTTTTTAGAAGGAAAATTATAAGTTTAATTTGGGATTAACTGAATTGGAGATGCCTGCGAAACTTTCAAGTGGAGATATCCAGAAGGCATTTGGAATATGGGTCTATACTAGAGCTTGAGGGCAAGCCCTGGGTTGGAGAGAGTGCTCTGGGAGTCATGAGCACATAGAGGGGAGTGGAAACCCTGGGGGAGGATGAGGAGAGAGTAAAAGGAGTGAGAAGAGGGCCCTAGACTGAGCCCTGTGGGAGGAAGAATAAGTCTTAAGAAGGACACAGAAGAAATGGCCAGTGATGGGGGAGGAAACCAGGAGGCATCTATAGGAATCCAGTGGAAGGAAAGAATTGTAAGGAGAGGATTATCAGTGGTGTGAAATGTGTCACAGGGATCCAGAAAAATAAGGCCTGAGAAGTGCTCATGTATCTTCCTGTTTCCATGCTCCCACAGTATGGGTTGGGTGGTTGGTTTTACAAAAAATATCACTCCATACTTCTTATGGGTGGCAGGTTTTTTTTTAATACTGTGGAACCAGTAACCTTTGCACATACATTTCCGACAACTAGTGCCTGAAGTTGTTGATAGCAGTGTCTGCTGGATATTTGTGTCTTTAAGTGATACCAGCTTTCATTGGCATCTTCTGTTCTAATCTTTCCCATGCTGAATCAAGGATATTAAGAGCTCAACTGTGGTTTGAATTCCGAAATGGACTCTTAAGTGTTCCTAGACTGAATGTTCAATCAATTTCCTTTTATTCTAATCTTGTATCAATCTCTCTTAACCTATTTTTTAAATTATTTTTTTGTAGATATGTGAAAGAGGCCAAAGAAGCGACTAAGAATGGAGATCTAGAAGAAGCACTTAAACTTTTCAATTTGGCAAAGGACATTTTTCCCAATGAAAAGGTGATGAGCAGAATCCAAAAAATACAAGAAGCCTTGGAGGAGTTGGCGGAACATGGAGATGATGAATTCACAGATGTGTGCAGTTCTGGCCTGCTGCTTTATCGAGAGCTGCACAACCAGCTCTTTGAGTACCAAAAGGAAGGCGTAGCTTTCCTCTATAGCCTGTACAGGGATGGAAGAAGAGGGGGCATCCTGGCAGATGATATGGGATTAGGAAAGACTGTTCAGATCATTGCTTTCCTTTCTGGGATGTTTGATGCTTCCCTTGTGAACCATGTGCTGCTGATCATGCCAACCAGTCTGATCAGTACATGGCTAAGAGAATTTGTCAAGTGGACTCCAGGAATGAGAGTTAAAACCTTTCATGGTCCAAGCAAGGATGAACGAACCAGAAACCTCAGTCGGATTCAGCAGAGGAATGGCGTCATTATCACCACATACCAAATGTTAATCAATAATTGGCAGCAACTTTCCAGCTCGAATGGCCAAGAGTTTGTGTGGGACTATGTCATCCTTGATGAAGCACATAAAATAAAAACCTCATCTACTAAGTCAGCCATATGTGCTCGTGCAATCCCCGCCAGTAATCGCATCCTCCTCACAGGAACCCCAATACAGAATAATTTACAAGAACTGTGGTCCCTGTTTGATTTTGCTTGTCAAGGGTCCCTGCTAGGAACATTAAAAACTTTTAAAATGGAGTATGAAAATCCTATTACTAGAGCAAGAGAGAAGGATGCTACCCCAGGGGAAAAAGCCTTGGGATTTAAAATATCTGAAAACTTAATGGCAATCATAAAGCCCTATTTTCTCAGAAGGACAAAAGAAGAGGTACAGAAGAAAAAGTCAAGCAACCCAGACATCCAACTTAGTGAAAAGAATCCAGATGTTGACGCCATCTGTGAAATGCCTTCCCTTTCCAGGAAAAATGATTTAATTATCTGGATACGTCTGGTACCTTTACAAGAAGAAATATACAGGAAATTCGTGTCTCTAGATCATATCAAGGAGTTGCTAATGGAGACGCGCTCACCTCTGGCTGAGCTTGGTGTCTTAAAGAAGCTGTGTGATCATCCCAGGCTGCTCTCTGCACGGGCATGTCATTTGCTGAATCTAGGGGCTGTCAACTTCTCTGCTGCAGATGAAAATGAAGGGGAAGATACCTCAGATGTGGACCATATTGCTCAAATAAGTGATGATACACTGATGGGAGAATCTGGAAAAATGATATTTCTCATGGACTTGCTTAAAAGGCTGCGAGATGAAGGGCATCAAACTCTGGTGTTTTCCCAGTCAAGACGAATTCTCAACATCATCGAACGCCTCTTAAAGAATAGGTGCTTTAAAATACTGCGCATCGATGGAACAATTACTCATCTTGTAGAACGAGAGAAAAGGATTAGCCTATTCCAGCAAAACAAAGATTACTCTGTTTTCCTGCTTACCACGCAAGTGGGTGGTGTTGGCCTCACACTAACTGCAGCAAGTCGAGTGGTCATCTTTGACCCTAGCTGGAATCCCGCAACTGATGCTCAGGCTGTGGATAGAGTTTACCGAATTGGACAAAAGGAAAATGTTGTGGTTTACAGGCTGATCACTTGTGGAACTGTAGAGGAAAAAATATACAGAAGACAAGTTTTCAAGGACTCACTAATAAGGCAAACTACTGGTGATAAGAAGAACCCTTTCCGCTATTTCAGTAAACAGGAACTGAGAGAGCTCTTTACAATCGGGGATTTTCAGAACTCTGCAACCCAGCTGCAGCTTCAGTCTTTGCATGCTGCTCAGAGGAGATCTGACAAGAGCCTCGATGAACATATTGCCTACCTGCACTCTCTGAGCATAGCTGGAATCTCAGACCATGATTTGATGTACACACATGATCTATCTGTTAAGGAGGAGCTTGATGTGATAGAGGACTCTCACTATATTCAACAGAGGGTTCAGAAAGCTCAATTCCTTGTTGAAACAGAGTCTCAAAATACAGAGCTCTTAATGGAAAGACAAAGAACTGGCAATGAGGGGGTCTGGCTGAGAGAACCTATATTTCCTTCTCAGACAAAGAAGAAATGCCCTGAATTCAATAAGCCACGGCCTCAGCCTTCACCCTTTCTACTTACTCATCACACCCAGGAAGAAGAAATCAGTTCCCAAATGGCAAGTGTAATCATTGATGATCTACCTGAAGAGAGCAAGAAACAAGATCTCTCCAGTATAAAGACAAATGTTACCATCCCGCAAGATGGTAGGCACCCACGTGAAAGTACATTTGATGCTGACTTTGTAGCTTCTTTACCCAAGGGGTGTGGAAATGTGGAAGAAATGTGGACTGACTCTTCATCGGGTACAGCGCTACAAAAAGAGTTATCGCGAGAGGGCCCTTCACAGGAGGCACCACAAGAGAGCCCTCTGGGAAGTGCTAATTATCTACAGAGCAAGTCAGTCAGAGCTGATCTTGGGGCAAACCTAGATCAACTAGAGGATGATGAGATTTTCCATCACTGTACTTCCTGGCCTGCTAATCCTACAACAAAAGAATATCAAAGTAGAGAATCAAATGTATCTGTTATTAAAATAGCTGATGATGACTTATCAGCATCCTATCATGCACTGCAGGATGCTCCAGAGAATGAGGCCAAGTTGGAAGAGGAACCATTAGCATCTTCACCCCAGTATGCATGTGACTTCAATCTTTTCTTGGAAGACTCTGCAGATAATGCACAGAATCTTTCCAGTCAGTCTTTGGAGCGCGTGGAGAAAGAAAATAGCTTGTATGTTTCTGCAGCTAATTCTCGACCAGAATCTGTGCACAGCAAAGCACGTCTCAGTGTAGATCTTTCTGAGAAAGATGATGAGCCAGAAGAAGAGGTGGTTAATGTGAAAGTTAGAAGTAAAGCTAGACGGATCAATTCAGATGACGAAGATGAAGGTGATACTTTTAAAGATACTTCAAGCCCCAATCCATTCAGCACACCTCCCTTCCCGTCTTTATCTGTAAAACAGTTTGATGCTTCAACTCCCAAAAATGACCTCAGTCCACCTGGAAGCTTCTTTTCACATCAAATATCTAATAGTATAAATAAGTCCATCAACTCTAGAAGATCCCTAGCCTCTAGGAGGTCTCTTATTAATGTGGTTTTAGACCACGTGGAGGATATGGAGGAAAGACTTGACAGCGGCAGTGAAGCAAAGGCTGCTGCTGATTATCTGGAGGAAGGAGCAGAGGAAAGCAGCAGTGAAGCCCTAGAGGCTACAGAAGATCCTTCCAGAGAAACACTGCCTTCAGAAAATAAGTCCAGCCAGTTAAGCTCACCTATGCCCGGTGCTCCGGGTCAGGAGGCCTCTCCTGGCGACCCTGAGCCTTTGTCTGGAGAACAGTTGGTTGACTCTCCCCAGGATGAGGCGGTGGAGGCTGCAAACGACTATGAGACTCTTGTCTTGCGTGGAAAAGAGCTGAAAGAGTGTGGAAAAATACAGGAGGCCTTAAACTGCTTAGTTAAAGCACTTGACATCGAAAGCTCAGATCCTGAAGTGATGCTCATGACTTTAAGTTTGTATAAGCAACTGAATAAAACTTGAGACTGTAACCTGTTTATTGTATTTTTAAAGCCAAACTGAGTAGGCAGTACTTTGTTCCCATAATTGGGTTCTTTGGGAGCATGAAGCATTTGGGCTTAAGGCAGGAGGGAGAACTCAGAAAGAGAGTTCTTGTTTCCAACTTTCTTGTAAATTCTGCCTTTACTGCCTGTTCCCCCTCCCCGCCCCCGTACATATATTCTGGTATTCTGAGCCCTAGGTTAATATTTCTTTACTCAGATATTTGTGTATTTTTCTTTTAGGCATACTCTATAAAATAAACTTCATAGAACTTTGTTATTTCTAGAAAAATTTTGGTAAAATTATTCTGGTCATTTTCAGTTTTATTCTGAAAATGATCAATTTTGTATCACACAGTTCAGATAATTAAACTTATTTTTCTCAATGTTTTTCACTCACTTTCTTTCACTGAGATGATTGATTATTGGCAAATGCATACAGAAATTCATTGAGGCAGAAGTCAGTCATTAGTATTCTATTCCCAAGGCCCACTTATTAATATGCTATTTTGGGCTTCCAACTCACTATAGCTGAAGACTGGGATAAGGTGCGTGGTGCTGAACTGTATCACTGTTACCCAACCCTGCAGTCACTTGGCTGACCACTGAGGCATCCTTCACTCACCCCCAACTACTTTCTGACACACACTAGCACATCATTATCTTTGGGTTATAGACTGAAAAGGTGTTTGGTTCCCTCTCAGAAACGTAAAGTGCAATTTTAGCACTGTTTTCTGTCACTAGAGATGATCAAGTACCTACTATATATAAAGCACTCTACATCGGGTTCTTGTTTAATGCTTACCATAATCCGTTGGAGTCAAGGGTGGCATTTCCATATTTTAGTTGAGGAAACTACGTACGGCCCAGTGAGGCTCTGACCTGCCCAAAATCACACAGTAAACGGTGAAGTGGATTTTTAACCATTGTTACCTAGTGAAAAGCCACTATAATAACCGAGCTGTTTTTACTCACAGCACTTCTGATACCAAATGTATGGTGTTTTTTCCACACCAAGAATTTCAGTTCTCTGCAGACACCAACTGGGTGTCGTACAATTCAACTCAACTCAATTCTGACACAGATTAAAGGGCTCACTTCTGTAAAGCTGCCCTCACTTCAGATCCTGGTTGCTAGCATTGAGTTCCTACATCATGCTTCTGCCCAGTTTGGCTACTAATCGAGGGTTCCCATGACTGCCTCTTAAGGTTCAATAATTTGGCAAACCAGCTTATAGAATTTAGGAAAACTTAATGACTAGTTACAACTCAGGAACAGCCAAATGGAAGAAATGTATGGGGCAAGATATGGGAATGTGTGTGTGTTAAGCTTCCATGTCCTCTCTGGGCGCAGCCACACTCCTGGCACCTTGATATGCCCACCAACCCAAAGCTTTTTAAAAGATTTTTTTAATAGAAGTTTCATTATATAGGCATGATTGTTTAAGTCGCTGGCCATTGGCGAATAATCTCCAGCCCTTCTCCTCTCTAGCAGCCAGGGGGTGCGGCCAAGAGTTCTAACCCTGTAGCTAAGTCTCCATCTTTCTGGTGACGAGCCATCATCCTGAAGTTATCCGGGGGTCCCCAACCACTAGTCATCTTGTTAGCATGTAAAAGACTCAGTCACTCCAGAGATTCCAAGGGAGTTGTGTGACAGTAACCAGGGACAGGGACTAGATATTTATTTTTTATTATATCACACAGACACACACACACATAATAAAAGCTACTTGTGCGGGAGGGTATAGCTCAGTGGTAGAGCGTATGCTTAGCATACACTAAGTCCTGGGTTCAACCCCAATACCTTCATTTAAAAACAATCAAAAAAAGCTACTTGTAAATTATATGAATATACACACGCTACTATTCTCATATGTATATTACAAAATACACGGATAGAACCTTGAAAGAGATGAGCTGAAGTTTAAATAATACGTTATTTATCGATAGTACAAAATTTTGCTCTTACAGAAAGAAATTACGATAATCATCCCTCAGTATCCAAGTGGGATTGCTTCCAGAACCCCCTGCAGATACCAACGTCCACAGATATTCATGTTCCTTGTATAAAATGGTGTAGTAGTTACATATAATCTACACACATTCTCATGTACTTTGAATCATCTCTAGATTACTTGTAACACCTTTTACAATGTAAATGTACATTGTGAATAGTTACAAATAGAATATACTGTATAAATAGTTGCCAGTGCATTGTAAAAGTTTTGCTTTTGGGGACTTTCTGGAATGTAAAACAAATATATTTTTGGTCTGCAGTTGGTTAAATCTGTGGATGCAGAACCGTGGATACGGAGGGCTAACTGTACTCATATTTTAGGGAGGGTAATGTGACTGAATATGTATCAGTATTGAAAAAAACCCTGGTGAAAACACTGTGATTCATCAATTTCTAGTCTGCATCTAACGCCAGCTCATTGTTTACCTACGTGCACTGAATGGCTGTCCCCATGCACATACATCACTGGCTGTGCCCTGCGTCTTTTTCAGTCCCTTCCATCAAGCATACAAATTGTGGAAATACAACTGATAAATTCCTCTTCCCTGATGCGACCAAAAGAAAGGCTGCACATGATTTATTTGCCTGCCAGGAGGTGTTAGGAACCTGTATCCATTTGATCTGAACAGTGAGGCTTAAATCCTCGGTGTATTTCTCACTGAAAAAAAAGCTTCCGAATGTATATAATGACAATTTGGGGGGAAAAGTACATGCACGTGGTAAAATATTCAAACAACACCTAAGGCGGGAATTTTTAAACTGAAGTTCGTGGAGAGGATTCAGATGTCTGAATCTGGATGGGAAAAAAAAGTTACATCTTTCCTTCCAACTACCCTGTATCTGGAATTTAATGTTTCCTTTCAGGATGAATGTAGGCGACAAACTGCAGAAATATGAGCAGCACCTGCGACTTTCTCACCAACAGAAATCAGTGATTCCATAGTTACTACAGCTATCTCAAAATAACAATGAAATTCATCACTACAAAATCATTGATTTTTAGACCTACCACTAGATCTCAATCTATTAATAAAGAGGTACATAGAAAACAATTGAAAAACTATTTTGACTACTCTTTTTCAGCATAATTGGTGTCCTTTGTAATCCCATGGATTTTATTCATTTAAAATCAACATTCTTTTCAGAATTTTCTACAAGATTTTCAGAATTTGTAGCTCTTATTTAGAGACATTGTTTTGAATGGAGTCTTTAAAGCAGTTTCATCTGATACCTACTGTTCTGAACATCTCTCTGGATCCTATGACCATATCTATATCAGAGAATGGGCCACCTTCAGTCTGCTCAGTGGGGAAAGTCTCACAGAGTCATGAACTGCTGGGGCACTCGGAAACTTTTTCTCAAATGGGAAACTTAACTCTCTAAGGTGAAATTGCCACTATGAGGCATAACGTGGGCAGGTCAAATGCAGCTGAGAGAGAACACAGTCTGTTAAAAGAATCACTCTTAAGAATCACACAGTTGCGTCGGCAAAGTTTTATTTTTGAAGCAGTATGGTATTTATATTCTTTATACTTTTTTGTATGGTGTATTTATGGCATTATACATTAAAAATTGTAGATACACAAAACATTGGCCTTGGAAGGGATTGTCATAATATAGCCCATACATCTGAGGAAGAGGGAATGTTTTTATGCTGACATTTCTCCTTTTAATTAAACCAGCACTTGATGACTGGCTGCTGCTTAGTCTAGTACAAACAACCAGTGGAAGAACTGAGTGCCTTTTTTCTTCCAATAAACATTTATATAAAAAGAAAGGAGTTAACACTGAATGGCCATTATGTGTTATGTACTATGTTATGACAGTGGAGCTAATAACAACTGTCTTGGCAGATCAGCATTGGCTAGCTTATAGAACATGTGTTGGTCTAGGAACTTAACTTACGCTCTTCATACGCTGATCCATCTATTTGATGTCCAGTTCAATGTGTGAATAGTGTGAGCTGATATCTGGCTCCTCTAGAGATGGTTTCTAAATTAACGTATGGGATATACTGAGAATCAGATAAAGTAGTCCTGGGAGGAAAGGGACTACAGGTTAACAGGAGTCTGCTTGACTTATCTTTTGAGAACTACCGACTAAATACCTACTGCAGTGCACACCAACCTAACCCACCTGATTCTACCCCCACAAACCCACAATGACAGCGTTCGTAAAATACAAGGATCAGAAAACACCTTTTAAAGAAATAAACAATGTATAAAGCATGCAGCCTTTCATACAATTTTATTTTCTCCCTTCGACCATTATAATGTGATACCCAAATTTTGTCTTAACTGGAGGGTCAGTAAACACAGGCTTATCCAGCACACTTATAGGCAAGGCGAATGCTGCTTCTTGAAATGGTCCCACCATGGACCCTCTGGTCATCCAGCCCAAGTCGCCCTAAAAAATGCAAAAGATATGTGACGTTAAGTGACCCTGAAGTGGGAACAGTTCTACTGCAGCTTAAGAATTTCCTAGCACGAATGCTAAGGTTTCTAGGTTTATTTATCTGAGCTGGAAAGAAGCAGCCTCGACAAGGACAAACAGGTGGAAGAGGTCCAACCCTAGACTGAACACATAAGCACTCACTAGGCAGCTGGTGTCTGTTAGCTGTGTCAGTTTGGTCATGCCTAGGTTTAGACAAAGGTGACCTGTATTCCACAGTTCACAAGTTGAACATTTCTGCTTTTAAGATCTTTGAGCCAAGATATGGCTAAAATTAATGGCAGAACATAAAAATAATCCCTATTGCTGGGTGTCCTCCAGAGGGGGCATTTTAAATAATAAGAGCACCATACCCCTTGCCTGGCTTTATCTTCACTATACTGTGCGGCCACTTCATTGAATTTCATTCCAGACTTTAACTTTTCCATGGCTTCCAAGATCTTTCCATGTTTTTCACACAGAATGTGTCTGACCTATAAGAAAAAGGCATGTTCATGTAATACCTGGAGACCCAAATGATTCCTTTCCTTACAGTACAGTAGTCATGTCTGGATTTACCCCACCAGTGAAAAAACACATTCGCTCCTGGCAATGGAAAATCCAGGAAGTCTGCCCAGTTGGGCAATGGCCATAACCCATTTCCTGTATTCAGACAATATCTCAGAACCCAGACTTACACAGAAAATGGGCACCTGGCTGGGGGAAGCTACCATCTTTTACCATGTTCCTCAATGGGGACAAGGAAAGGAAACGATAATGGTTGAGAGCTTGGGTCCTGGAGTCAAATTCCCAACTCTCCTGTATGATCTTGGACATGTTTTTAAACCTCTAAATGTTTCCCCATTTGTGCACAGTACCTATGAGTTTTCATGGGGTTGTGAAGATTGAGATAATGCAGCTAGCATTCAATAAAAGTTAGCTATTATCCTCAGAGTGGGGATGATATGAAAAAAAAACCCAGCAGGAAGTACTTTTTACCAAGAGGCTCAATGTATAAAGCCTCCCCACAAGTTAACACTTTGAAAAAGGATCATATGCTGAAGATTAAGAATACTCAACCCTAGAGAAGTATTCAAATGTAACCTATGTTTACATAAAGCCATGTTTTGAAAAAAAATCACTATACCCTTAAAAATGATTTTTGTCAAGATATGTTTTGTAAGATTTCTCATTCAAATAGAATCTGTTATTCATTTCTTATTGTAAGTGATATACTAGGGTGGGTGCTAAAGGTGTCTCCCTTATAAATGTGGAGACAAACCAACCAAGGTTGTCCTCAGGGTTCAACACTGACATTGGGGGCGAGAGGATCCTGGGCCCACAGGAGTAACTTCCTGACTGGAGGAGCTACACAGGATATAGAGACACAGCAAAGGAAAGAATGTGTCAAAAAGCAGGCCTCAGCAAGGCAACTTCTACAGAATGTGTCCAGCACTGTCCAGGGGAGACAGGAATGAACAATCTGGACACTAGAGAGATACATGTTGGGGGACAAGGATGGTTCATCAGAGCTGAGCTCAGCCTGGCTAAAGCAGCTTGTCGACTGCCTCCCTCTTCCTGCTTCTGTGCTCACAAAGCAACCTTCTGGTTCAGTTCCTGGGAAAGTGCACACAGCAGTCATGATCACTGAAAGGGGACCCATCTACCACTTTATATATGAATAAACAAGTATTCTGGCTTAGACAGTTTGAGAGGTTGGACATAACGAGTCTGTAGCGCCTGTGGGGTATGCGAGTACGCCTGACCAACTGGCAACTGTGTGAGACCAGCGTCTTAGAAGACAGGCAGGCTCAGAGAGAATTTGGGGGTGATGGGCACAGAGGCAGGAGCTGATGCTCTGGAAAGTGATGGATCATCCCGGGAGGCTACCCAGAATGAGAAGAGGGGGAAAGCCAGCTAAAGACATCCTTGAAGAATATCAATATTTAAGAAACAAAGAAAGCAGCTCAATAAGCATATGAAAAGGGAGGGCCAGAGAGGGAGAGAGAAAGGTGTGTTAGCAGAAAACAAGGCAAGAGAAAGCTGCAAGGAGGAAATGGTCGACAGGATTAAATGCTACGGAGTGATCAGGTTAGAAGGACAATCACATTAGCCATGACTGACTGAGGACCTTCACAAAAGCCGTTTCAGAAGGGTGGTAAGTGCAGAAGCCAGGTGGCAGCGGGCGGACTGGGGCAGTAATGCGGGCGGGAGGGCTCCCCAATGAACTGAGTTAGAAAAAGGAGAAGGCTCTGGTGGCTCCCCCAATGAACTGAGTTAGAAAAAAAGGAGAAAGGGCTCTGGTCAGAGGGAAAGGGTCACAGGCATGGATATATTTTAAAGATCCCTGGGCACATTGTCAGAATGAAGGGAATGATGCAGTAAAGAGGGAAAGGTTGAAGACAGAGTCAAGCAAGAGGGCGGAGATAAATGAAGGTGCAAGGACCGGCGTTCAGAGCACTGCTGGACAAACGAGTGAGCCTTGAAGGAAGAAGGTGAGGAGAGAGAGAAAGGGGAGGTGTGAGTGGAGAGAACATGGTTGGTAGGGGGCTGGGAAGCCAATGAGTTCCTACGTCACAGGTGTGGTTTCCATTTTCTTGTGACAATTATAACAGTATTTAAGTTACTGAGTACTTAGTACCTGCCAAACAATGTGCGAAGGTCTTTATGTGAAATCCTTACACTAACCCTGAAACTGGATCAGTGTTTCTCAACCCTGGCACACATCAGAATCACCCCTGGAGCTTCTAAGAATATATCAAGGTCCAGTCCCCTCCCCCAAGAGATTCTGAGGAAGCTGGACTGGGGTGGGCCCTTGTGCTGAGAGTTTTAGAAGCTCTCCAGGTGAATCTGATATACACCAGGGTTGAGAACCAATGGATGCAGATACCTCCTGACTGACTGGAGCCGGGTGGTGGCTGGCTTAAGGCACAACCAGGGCTCAGAGAACAGACACGAAGCCTGGGAGAAGGTGGGGAGAACAGGGGAGGTTTGAGGGCCTGCAGGTCTGTGTGTGGAGAAGAACACAACAGGACTGGGGACAGTGGGAAGTGAAGGGGAAGGAGAGAAGCTGTGGTTGGCAGGTGGGTTTCAGAATCTGGGTAGCTCTAGTGACACAGGGTGGGGGTGGGTTCAGAAGTGGGGTTTAAAACAGAATGGCAGGATGGGTAAAGAGCCTAGACCCAAAAAGGCTGCAGGGTTTGAGGTCCCTCCCCTGTTGGGGCCTCTGTAAACACTGGAGACAACCTAGCTGTGCTCCAGCAGGTGGACAGTTAAACAAACTATGGCACTTCCGATCCATGGAGCACTACCCAGTAGCTCAAAGGAAAAGACTGGATACATGCGACAACTGGAATGCAATCTCCAGAGAATTATGCTGAGGGAAGAAAGCCAATCCCAAAAGGTTACATACTGTATCATCCCATTCATGTAACATTCTTGAAATCATAAAGTTACAGAAATAGAGAACAGATTAGTTGCTGCCATCGAGTCAAGGAGGGGGCAGAAGTAGGGGCAGGAGGGAAGTAGGTGTAGCTATAAAAGGGCAACAGGAAGGATCCCTGGGGTGAAGGAAATGTTCTGGATCTTGACTGTATCATTGTCAATCTCCTGGTTGTGCTATGGTACTACAGTTTTGTAGGATGTTACCATTGGGGAAACAGAGTAAGAGGTACACGTATATGTATCTTACAACTGAATGTGAGTCTCAAATTATCTAAAGAGGAAAAGCTGAACAAAACAGTTTAACCCTCCATGACTTTCCTACCTAATTACATACCATTCCTTTCTATAATCTCAAGTATAGCCACACTGAACATATTTTTTTCCCAGAAAGGGCAAGATGCCTCTTTAAAGCCATATGAAGGGGAGGGTACAGCTCAGTGGTAGAGTGCCTGCTTAGCATGCATGAGGTCCTGGGTTCAATCCCCAGTACCTCCATTAAAAATCAATCAATCAATCAATCAATCAATCAATCAAGCAAGCAAGCAAGAAAGCAAGCAAGCTAATCACCCCCTGCAACACCCCCCCACCAAAAAAGGGCATATGCAGTGGAGGAGTCTCTTAGGTTAGGTGCTTGTGAAAGTCAGCACGTATGGTGAAAACTGCACACCATCAAAATTACCCGATAACATCCCTTCCAAAGATGCCACACTGGAGACCAGCACATCAGCCCTCTGTGAGCCTGACACAGCCTGTCTCCCCAGCTTGTGCTGTAACAATGACCACTTCTTCAGCTGGACACCAGAACGAAGTAGCTGGCTTGTATTTAGGCACCCTGTTTTATGACAGTTTATCTTTGGATACCAGAATCCCACTTCACAGGTTGGATGCTCATACAAGAATGGTGGTCGACTGTGGAAAAGCAAATTCATGTCTCCCATCTCACTGTCTCTTTGGGGCATAGGTTCATTGCATAGAAAAGCAGGCACACTACATTCTCTCTCCTTCTTTTGGCTCCATGTGTATGGTTGCCTTTATATGATGCAATTCCACTACGGAAGCCACATCATACAGCAACGAAATTTCTGTCCTTACCTAACTGCTCCCAATTAGACTGTGATAAGAGTCTAATACCCAGAATTCAGTACACTGCCTGGCCCAGGGAAGATGTCACTAAATCCTTACTGAATGAATGAATCAAAAGTATGGAATCCCATATTCTGACTGAAACGGGGAAACTGCCTTGTTACATATCACTAAGCAGTGTAACTGTGTTTGCAGATTAGTTTCCCTGGGCAGACACCCCACTGACATTAGGTCAAATACTTTGACTAGTTAGTTGCAATTTCCCCCACCCTCATTTTCATGGTCAGGGATCCAGCTCATAGCTCACCTGTGCCTCTGCCTGTGTATCTAAGCTCTTGGTCTTATCAAACACTATTTCATTCTGAGAAATCATTCATTCACTTACTTGGGAAGATCTAACTCAATACTTTTTAAAGAAAAATACTAAATTATGAAGAAATTCTGGATGTCTGAGAAAGCATTTGAGAAAATATTTAAAAGGAATTACAGGGGCAGAAGAGGGTATAGCTCAGAGGTAGAGCATGTGAGAAAATATTTAAAAGGAATTACAGGGGCAGAAGAGGGTATAGCTCAGAGGTAGAGCATGTGTTTAGCATGCATGAGATCCTGGGTTCAATCCCCAGTACCTCCATTTAATAAATAAATAAATCAACCAACCAACCAACCAACCAACCTAATCAACTCCTCCCCCGAATAAAAACAAAAAAAAATTTTAAAAAGGAATTACATTTCATAAGTGAGAGTGATTGATATTTTCCATTTTTGTGTTACTTTGATCTTACATCAAAGTATTAGGTTAGCCTCTTAGAATGAGTTAAGCATACTGTCTTCTCCTTTTGTGTGTACTAAAATGACAGCTGCCCATGTTATTTATATTTAATTTAAAAAAAATAACTAGTTAACTTACCTTTACTGCATTTCCACCACCTTTGGGACCCTGAGCCTTCTTGTCAGAACTGTCACTCCCAGAGGCTGAGAAGAAAATGACAGGTATTCATTTAACTCCGCCTTGTTATTTACAGAAAAGTTCAACACAGTGGGAGTTGATACTTCCATCATAACACCAAGCTTCAAAAGGGAACTCTGTAGACACTTTACAACATCAAGCTAAATTAATCGGTGACTCACCTCTCTTAAAACAGGAAATTTGTGCCCTTCATAAACTCTTCACAGAAAATGGATACCCAAGTGAGTATGCTGATAGTTGAATGAGAGCACCAATAGCCAACTGGACCCAAGTTGAAATTCTACCTTTTAAGGCCAAACCCCTGCACTCTTGTGAGATTTCTAATAAGCCCTGCAACTATGTATCTGAATACTCACAATTTCAATAAGTAAAATCTCCAAGAATATACTTTAAAGTATACTCCAAGAATATACTTTACCCTTATTTGGCTAAAGAATACAATCATGTCCAAACTCCTGGAGTCTGCTACATTGCCTATTGACACTTTCCAAGAAAAGTTATTGATATTCAGATTAACAACTGCTGGCAGCATCTGACATCTTATTACTGTGTCATTTTGCTAATGTGCCAATTTCTGTGTTGATGGCAGCATACTCACTGTAAGAGGCTGATATTCCTAAGACCTACTGTTAGATTACGTGCTCAGTTCAATAAACATTTCCTAAGTAACTAAGTTCTAGGCACTGAGGATACAAAGATGAACAAGCCATGGTACCTCCCTCAGGGAGTGTACATGCTGCTGGGGAAGATGGTTATGTAAACAAGTCAAACAGATCATTTCAGGAGAATGAGCTATACTCTACAGACAGGGGGCTGTGGAAGCACAGAGGGACATTTTAGCCAGTCAGGGAAGGTTTCCTCGATGAGTAGGAGCTGACTAGGCAAAGAAAGGACAAAGGGGAGGAGACACTTTGGGGTGGGGGAACAGCATGGGATGTGTAGGAAACTCTAGATGAAGCCAGATGTGAGGTGGGAGTGCTGTGACATGAGTCCAGGGAAGGTGGCTGAGGGTTAGGGCGTGAGGGCCTTTGGGCCCTATTAAATAATTTGGAATTTATCCTAGAATAGGGAGCCACTGGAAAGTTTTAATCAGGAGACTTCATCTTACTTGTCTTAGGATCTCCAATGCCTAGCATACAACAGTTGTTCAATAAATGTTCAACCAAGTGAAAATCCAAAATACCGACCACCAAATGCCTAAGAAAATGTTACTGCCAAAGGAGTTTTACAACACCAAACTCTTAAGTGGGCTTGCAGTATATTCACTGTAGAACAATGACGTCTTCCAGTTTTCCCATCCTCTCCCCTGCTGGACAATGTCATCTTCTGACTGCCACCTCACTCCCTCTGATTGACTGAGGACTCTGGCAGCAGCTTCAGGCTGCCTTTCCACCCTCACTCCTGTCATCATCTTGGATGACATCACCATCTATGCAGAGGACTCATCCAACAGCCTAACCTCACTTCTGGACCTCCCTCCTCAATGACCAGGCCTTCTACTCCAGGCCACCTGTTCCCAGGGGCACATGATGGAACTGTGCCACTCAGAACTCAAGTCTCTGGCTACAACTTTGTTTTTCCAGCTTTCTCCTGCCTCATTCCAACATGGGCTCTTTAATATCACGGAAACCACACCCCCTCCATTCAGTCCCTTTACCTTGCTATGTTCCCCTAGACTATCAGACCTCTCCTTCCCTTCCCAGTCAGTTTTGTTTTGGTTTGGGGGGGGGTAATTAGGTTTATTTACTTATTTAATGGAAGTATGGGGGATTGAACCCAGGACCTCGTGCATGCTGAGCACATTCTACCACTGAGCTCCACCCTCCCCCTCCCTTCCCAGTCTGGATCCCATGCTTGATCATCTGAACTGCATTCCCTGGCCCCTTAATTCCCTTCTATTGCTTTCCTTCTATTATCATTGTCCAACAAAACCTCAACCTTGGCTCAAGGCTACACCGAGGTCTTTTCAATCCTGTATTGTGCCAGTTGTATTGTACTAGGTAAATCATGACTGTGCAGATCGTGTCCTCTACAAGTTCATGGCCTTCAGTCTTAGTCAGGCTCTCAGCCCTGACGGCAATCCTTTTATTAGTGTTTCATCCCCTCTCCTATCACCCCAACGGCTATTCCAAACCTTTTACCACTCTCCTCAAGACCCCTACTCATTCCCTGCCCCTCAGCCTTAAAAACTACCTTTGTCTTCCACTTTATCGAAAAATCGAGGCCATTAAACCTGACCTTCTACAAAATCCACCCCCCTGGCCCCAATTTTTACAACCACATCCATCCTGGTCTCCTTCCCTGTGACCTCAAGCATAAGGTGCCCCTCCTATTCAAAGGTCAACTGCTCCACCTCTTTTATCTCAAACCTCAATCCTCTGTACCTTTACCTCTGTAACTTTACTGGATCCTTCATGTCAGCCTCACTCCCAAGTTTTGCCTGTTCTGAAGAAACAAACAAAATCAAACTTTCACTTAATCCTTTGTCCTCTGCTATCTACCATTTAATCCCCATGCTTTCTCTTTCTTTTTTTTTCTGTATTGCAGAGGATGGAAAAGTAGAAGGTCTAAGGTTAGAGCAGCAGGAGAAAGGCACAACATTGAATAACACATCATAGTACAGTCTCTCTGTCCCATTGAGTGACAGTTGCCACTGGCACCGTCCCAGCGCAAGGACATAATCAAGGGTTTTCAGCTTCAGCACCAGCTCCCCATGTATTTCAGCCAAAACTTTCCAGAGAAGTCCACATTGCCAGTCTCCAATTTCTTTTTTCCCGGTCAGCCCTCTAGTCACCGGCCACCGGCTGCCTCCATCCCAGACCCCAGGGATCGCCGGTCTGCTCCCTCCCCTCGCCCCTCACCCGACCGCGTTCTCCTTGGTTGCTCTGGCCGCTCTACCTTTCCCCCCTTTTCCAGAACCGCTTTTTCCTTTTGGCGGCATCTCCGAAAGTTACCGTCCGACGCCCAACCGCTTCGGTTGCCGCATAAAGCCCCTTCAGGCCCCACGGGTATGTCCTACACATACGCCTGAAAGCGGCATCGCAATTGGCCATTCTTACTGCGGCTCAGGAAGCAGGCGTACCTGGGGGCAGACCCGGTCTTTTGGCTCTAGGGCCAGTGGGACCAAAGATGTCTGACCAATAAGAACCTCGGGCCGGGTAGAGGGGCGGAGCCAAAGATTGGGCGGGGGCGGGAAGCCCCGCCTCTGCGCTTTTTGCTACCTCTTTCTGACACCCTTAATTGCGCGCGCTCTCCTGCTCCCCGCTCCCCAACCCGCCTCTTCTACGCGTGCGCAGTGGAAGCCGCGGGCCTCTGCAGTCCCTCCGCGCTGGCTCCAGCCAATCCCTCGGGGCCACCAGACAAAGACAAAGCCGGAAGAGCCGCAACTACCGCCTCCGCCTCCTGCGCCCTCCTACACATGGGCCCACTCTCCCTTGCGAGTTTTCGTTTTTAAAGTGTATTTTGCAGCTTGTAACTGATTGGATTCAAAAGGTAGTTTTTAAAAACTCTCTGCCTACTGCAGAACTCTGTGATGGAGAAAAATCGGAAGCAATCTAAATGCCTTTTAGTAAGGTATTGCTTAAATAATGTTTTCACCACACAAAAGGATGTGCTCCGTTTAAAATAACGAGTGTAAAGCTGTCAGTATAGACACGAGAAATGGCCTTAAGGAAGGTACAGACCAAGCTATAGAATATGATTCTTCTTTAGAAAAATTATGTAGGGTACTGTATAATATGTTCATACAGAAGACAAGAAGGCTATCCAGCAAAATGTGACCAGTGGTGCTAGTACAGGTTATTGTGCATCTTTCTGAGTATTTTCCGAAATATCTTTAATGGTGCAGCATAATATAGTAGTTAAAAGCATGGATTCTGGAGCCAGACCTTCTGGCTTCAAATCCCTGCTCCACCATCTGGCTGCTAGCTCTGTGACCTGATGCAGTTACCTCATCTCTTTTTTGGCTCAGTTTCATCATCTGTAAAATGGAGTTGATGATAATAATACCTATTTATAGGGTGTTAAGAGAGTTAAACAAGTTCATATTTGTAAAGCACATAAAACAATGACTAACCTGTGGAGTGTTAATTTAAGGGGAATGAGTTTTGAATTTGTGCCCCCAAACTTTCTCCTCTTACCCACGACCGTTTTCCCCCCAATTTGTATGTAAGTTCAGAGATTTTCCTCCACTCCAGGAGATGGCTGTCTCCAGGAGATAGCCAGAATATACAGGTCTTCCAGCTCAGAGTTTAAGTTTGGGGTGCAGTCTTGTGGGACATGGGATGCTTCCCGCCCAGACCCGGGGATCAGGTATTTCTGAGACTGTGCCACCCCTCAACTCATACACTGCAAGCATCCCCCTCAAGTTGTACTGCTGTCTTTTCTGAACATAGCACGTCTTAGGCACTCCTTGTTCTGGATTGGGAGTGATCAACTGTGAGGAACAACACATCCAGCACTGAGGGGATCACTGCTCCCCCACTTCTGAGGTGAGCCCACTGACTTTCAAAGTCCAGCTGGGAGATGGGGCTGGTTGACAATGACAGTATGGCCTCATGTTCATCAGTTCATCCACAGCCAGGAGGCACCTTTACTTCTGGTTTTCAGTAGGGGACAGCCTTTCCTGCAACCATGGGCTGTGGCACCCTTGGAGTGGGAATGAAGCAAATTTCAGACCCCCTGTCAAGAACCAGCCCTAAATGGCTGACGTCCCTGGCAAATGCTTAGTGCCTGGAACATCGGTGAGAGCTCTGCGCATTCCAGCTGATAACAGCAACAACAATAAGTGAGCGTGGGTAAGTGGCTGAATTTGCCCAAAACAATGCCTAAAGGCCAGTAGTTCAAAGGAGAAACCGATGGGCATAGTCCAGATGTTTGGAGGTCAAAAGCACTTTAAGACTGATAAAATCATGTACCATCTCAACTATGAAGTATGCGTCACAAAAATCTTAAGTGTTGATTGTGGCATGTGAGTTTCTGGCTTTCATTTTTTTCTGTTGAAACTATATTCTGTTAATGTGGATCAGCACGTCTTTTTTTAATTCAAGAAAAAAAAGGCAATGAATATTATTTGTAAAACAAACAACCAAAAAGCTAGCCTCTATACAGGGTTAAGTCTGTACCGGTATGTGGAGGCTGACTGTGGAGGAGTCTGTGGGAGCAGAGTGACGAATGAACAAAAGAGTGGGCAGTGGGGGCAGAGAGGAGAAAACTTCAGCCTTGTAACCATGGTAACGACTGCAGGAGTGTGCACCTATGAGTCAGAGCCAGGAATGGCTGCCAGTTAGATTTTCTATTAATTATCTTCTCAGATGGAGCCTTCCACACATTTCTTCAACGAGGAAAATCAGGAAGGGAAGCTGGCAGCCCTCTTCCCAGGACAGAGGTTCACAAACCTTGACCCAGATTCACTGGCCCACCCCACCAGCTCCCCAACCAGAGGGCTTCAGTTTCTTTCCCATCTGAGATCCCAGCAGAGCTTATTCTGAAAGGGGACCTTGAAGGGACAAAACACAGAGATCTAGTTAATCCCATTCAAAGGTGGTCAGTATATGGGGAGCTCTGGGCTCCAGACTCTAGCTAGGGATGAGGGTAGAAAAAGGTCACCTTTGGAAACTGAAACCAGGAAAAATCAGTACCTGGTGGATGAGAACAGCCATCTGCAAAAGTACCCACCTGTCAAGGCAAATAGATGCAGGTAGATGGCTAACAGGATGGATGTCTCCTGAGCACAGTCAGTGGCCAAAAAACTTTCTGTCTGGTCACCACTGGGTTCTAACTAGTCCAACCATGTCAGGTTACCGTCTACAGTATATAATGCTCTCTTAAGACACTATGCCTTTGCATATACTGTTCCCTCTGCCTGGAATGCCATTCCTCCATTTTGTATCTAGCTAAGTCTTATGTACCTTTCAAGACCAAGATCAAGTGTTAACTTCCTCCTGGAAGCCTTCCCTGACCCTCTTCTCCACCTTCTCCCAGGCTGGGTTAGGCACTCCACTATGCTCCCAAAGCATTCTGTGCTTATGTCTACCATTTGGATATTTTGGAGTAGTAGTCCGTGACAGAAGTGGACCATAGTTTGTTTAACCATTCCCTCATTGAAAACCATCTGGCTTTTTTTGCAGTTTGAGGGCTATTACAGATGAAGTAGCTATAAACATTTGTGTACAAGTTTTTGTGTAAATGTGAGTTTTCATTTCTCTCGGATGATTTCCAAAAGAGTAATTATTGAGTTGTATGGTGATTGTGTTTTAATGTTGTAAAAAACTGCATGCTCTTTTCCAGAGGGACTGTACCTTTTCACATTGCTACCAGCCATGTATAGGTGATCCAGTTTCTTCACCTTCTCACCAGCATTTTTTTTCCTTTTCATGTTCTTTTTCATTATATTTATTTATTTGTTTGTTTTTTAATTAAAGAATAGTCAGTTTACAATGTTGTGTCAGTTTCTGGTGCACAGCATAACGTTTCAGTCATATAGATACATACATATGTTCCTTTTCATATTCTTTTCCATTATAGGTTACTATGAGATATTGAATATAGTTCCCTGTGCTATACAGTAGAACCTTGGTGGGAACATGAACTACTTATAGTTCTACGTGAGCTCCAGCAAGTTTCAGGCAGTTTCCTCTAAACAGATCCGTCCCCACCTGAACACTTGAGGAATACCCTCTGCAGGTCTCTGAGATTCTCTCTTTCTATGCAGTGTCCTCCTGTCCGGAATACTGTCCTGCTAACTCTAGCTGCCTTGGTCTCCGTGGGCTCTCAGCTCCATTGACTCAACTCAGGAAGTCCACTGGGTTCTAACTAGGTTCCCCCTCCCTGCACCAGAGCCTGGAAACTCTCACATAGTAGCAGCTTGGGTGATTGTAGAGCTTACCTAGTTTGTTTGCTGTCTCTCAGGGATCAATGTCCTTCATTTTCTGATGTCCAGTGTCTTGAAAACCATAATCCATAGTTTAATATAGTCTATTTTTTCTTGTTTCAGACAGAAGAATAAATCTGGTGCCTGTTACTCCATCTTGGCCAGAAAGAGAATTTCTGAACTTCATGTAAATGGAACCATATAGGAGGTCTTCCTCTGTATCTGGCTCTTTTTTTTTTGTGAGTAGCAGCAGTTCTTTTTTAAATTGCTGGTGATGTTCCACTGTATGAATATTTTCTTTTTTTTTTAATGGCTGCATAGAATTCCATTGTATGGATGTATCATAATTTATCTAACTGGTTTCCTATTGATTTGCATTTAGAGATAATTTCTGGTCTCTTACTATGACAAACAGTGCTGCAATGAACATTTGAACATAGATTTTGCACAGATGTGAGATGTCTTTAGGATAGATTCCCACACATGGGTCAAAAGATACGTGCATTTTGTTATTTTTAAATAATTCTTATTTTTTATTCCAGTGTAATTGATTTACAATGTTAGTTTCAGGTGTACTGAAAAGCAGTTCAGTTATACATGTACATACATATATTTTTTTCAGATTTTTTTCCCATTACAGCTCATTACAAGAAATTGAATATAGTTTCCCTGTGCTATACAGTAGAGCTTTGTTGTGTGTTTTGAACTTAGATAGTAATTGCCAAACTTTCCTCAAAAGAGATAAGACCAGCCAGCATTCCCACTGACCATGTGTAAGGGTGCCTGTTTCTCCACTAACTTCATTAGCTAATAGTTTAACAAGATCATCCTAAGAAACTTTTTCTCCATGTTAGGGCCACAGTATTGCCTCAGGAAGGGAAGTCACCATCTAGCAAGGGTCTCAGATTACTTCAGAAATAAACCCCCTCTGGATCCCATCCAAGCCCTCTGGCCTAGTACTAAACTGGCTTTATGGGAAACAGTGCCGGGGCAAGGATCCAACGCGGTAGTCTTTGCTCTGCTGAAACGACATTTCTTAAGCAAAGTAAATTAATTACAGGCCTTTGAGGGCTTAGCTCCTTTGGGACTAGGATTACACCTAAAACACTTCAAGATAGTAACTGTTTTTAGTCAAGTTAGACAAGTTACTCTTTTGTAACCTCAACTAAATGCTTTCTCTAAA